TGTGAGCAGGATAATATTTAGTGAAGGGATTCAGGGAAACCGGTTATTTTTATATAGCCGGACTTGAGTCCTGGAAATGATAAGTACAATGCCTGCACTCTAAAGGAGGGGTTCGGGATATTAGCAGTTTGGAGGGATATGTTGTGTATCTTTATACGTATATGCTTCTAAGCTGTTGAGTTCTGAGCACCTCTGCAAAACCAGTGATTATGTGTGAGTGAGGTGGGAGACGGCCGACTTGTTAAAAAAAATAATTATATATATATAAATATATATATATATATATATTATTATATATATATATATATTATATATATATATATATATATATATATATATATATTATATATATATATAAATGTCGTGCTGAATAGGCAGAACTTGCGACCTTAGCTTAAATAGCAACGCTCATCTTGCCATATAGGACAAGCGAAAATCTGTGTATGCAATAATTTCGCCAAGATCATTCTGAACCTAACGAAAAAAATATAGTATTTCATTGTGTTTGTTTAGTATTAAATTATTGTAAACAAATCTAAAATATATTTAGTTGGGATAGGCTAAAATAAATTGTGCTTGTTATAATAAGGTTAGATAAGTTTTCTAAGATTCTTTTGGTGCAAAATTAAATTTTTTTACATTAACATTAATGGAAAAAATACATCTTTAAACGTATAAAAGAAAATTTCAGAAAGGACTTAATTTTAAATGAGTTCTTGCTAATTGACCAGTTTTACATATTCGGCACGACATATATATATATAAGGTACCTAGGGATTGGCAGAGAGCATGTAGTCCCTTTATATAAAGGGAAGGGGGACAAAAGAGATTGGAAAAATTATAGAGGAATTAGTTTACTGAGCATACCAGGAAAAGTGTACGGTAGGGTTATTATTGAAAGAATTAGAGGTAAGAGAGAATGTAGGATTGCGGAAGAGCAAGGAAGTTTTAGAGTGGGTAGGGGACGTGTTGATCAGGTGTTTACATTGAAGCATATATGTGAACAGTATTTAGATAAAGGTAGGGAAGTTTTTATTGCATTTATGGATTTAGAAAAGGTATATGATTGAGTGGATAAGGGAGCAATGTGGCAGATGTTGCAAGTATATGGAGACGAATGGTATTTGGGACCTGACGAGCTGTTGGAGTGTGAGCAGGGTAATATTTAGTGAAGGGATTCAGGGAAACCGGTTATTTTTATATAGCCGGACTTGAGTACTGGAAATGGGAAGTACAATACCTGCATTTTAAAGGAGGGGTTTTGGATATTGGCAGTTTGGAGGGATATGTTGTGTATCTTTATACGTATATGCTTCTGAACTGTTGTGTTCTGGGCACCTCTGCAAAAACGGTGATTATGTATGAGTGAGGTGAAAGTGTTGAATGATAATGAAAGTATTTTGGGGGGGTTTTCTTTCTTTTTGGGTCACCCTGCCTCGGTGGGAGACAGCCGATTTGTTGAATATATATATATATAAGTAGGTGTCAAAGCGGCTCGGTGGCTCCTGCGGCTGAGTGGCTTCCTTTTCCTGAGCGGTCTCCTCCCGACAGGGCTGCGGCTGAGTGGCTACCTCCTCTGAGTGGACTCCTTTTCACACCTTTATGCTAATGACCTCGCCCTCAACCCACGACACCCCACCCACGACCCCACCCACAACCCCTACCCACGACCCCACCCACGACCCCCACCCACGACCCCCACCACGACCCCCAGCCATAACCCCACCCACGACCCCCCACCCTCGACCTCCTCGCCCTCAACCCCCACCCTCTACCACGCCCTTCAACCCCCACCAACGCCCCCCGCGCGCCCGCCCGCGCCTTCTGCAGCGCCTTCTGCAGCGTCGTCCGGATCGCCCCCGCTCCCCGAATTTTTTTCCGATTTCGAATTTTTTTTGAATTTCATTTTCTTGTGCTCTCCATCTCCTCGGATCAAGTTTTTCTCGTTATCAATAATACAAAGATTTTCCCCCCACACCTCCCACCACCCACTTCTACCCCAAGTATTTCTCCTCCATCTCCTTGGATCAAGTTTTTCTCGATATCAAATAATACAAAGACTCCATCTCCTTGGATCAAGTTTTTTTTGGATTCCCCCCTCTGGGGGTAAGCATTCAAATTGACTCCCCCTATGGGGCATGGTACTTTCTCTTACTACAGGTCTAAACAAGTGTGACGTCACCCCACCTGTGTTTACTCGGCGGTCAGTGACGTCACGTGATGACCTCGCACACACAGGCTGAATCTTGTCGACTTCCCCCTATGTCAGTGACGTCACGTGATGACCCCACACACAGGCTGAAACCTGTCGAGCAGACAATAACTTAAAATGCAGGATAACACTATTTATTATACAACCAATGTATTTCATATACATCCAACAAAAAAAATTCATTGAAAAAAAGATACAATTCTATGACTAAAATCAACATATTTTTCTCTTGAAGAAATTCTGTGCATTTTGTTCTGGATCTTCTTCGTCGTCACCATCTCAGTATTA